ACATAAAGCGCCCCTGTTCTCTTGGTCTTTTCACCAGGCTCTGTCAATGAGCTCAATCAACTGGGTTTCTAACTCTACAGAGAGCTCCTGAGTGCTACCTCATTTTTGAGGCAAGTCTCTGTCTCTCTTTCTTTGAGCAAAGGAACAACAACCTCAAAGCCCTTTAAATAATAATAACAATAATACATAATAATAATGAGAACCTCTAAAAAGAAAGGTCAAAGCCCCCCTTCTACCTGTGTTGTGCTTTCCCTTGTCCTATGAAAAAATTCTGGGAGGAGTTGTAAAGAGCTAATTGACTAGCTCCAGCCCCTTTTGACTCACCAATGTGACTCCCCAATCTGCTCAGCAACAGTCCCACTCTCTCCAAGTGTTTTAAAAAATAATTTAAACACTCACCCACTCAAAATGGCTACCCAGAAACTGATTTCCTTCTCCTTCCAAGCAAGAACTGGCCTGCAAAGCCTCTGGGATGAGTTATATAGGGCTAATTGGCTAGCTCCACCCCCTATTGACTCAAAATGTGACTCACCAAAGCCCCACCCACTCAGCAATAGTCACACTCTTTCCAAGTGTTTTTTTTAAAATAATTTAAGCACTCACACACTCAAAATGTATGCCCAGAAATTGCTTTCCTTCTCCTTCCTGGCAGGAATTTAAACACCTATATAAAGAAAAGCTATAATTAATTATTGGAAAAGACAAGGCACAACATTAATATGGATTCTGGATTTTTTTTTTTAATGGCCAGCTTTTTTAATGGTACCAGTAGGTACCTTTTATTTTTGTTGTGCTCCTAACAATGTTATTGCTTCTGTTTCTTAGGCTGCATCCACACTGCAGAAGTAATCCAGTTTGACAGAACTTTAACTGACCTGGCTCAGGGCTATGGAATTCTGGGAACTGTAATTGATTGTGGTACCCAGAGCTTTCTGACAGAGAAGGCTAAATGTCTCACAAAACTATAGTCCTCAGAATTCCATAGCATTGACCCAGATCAGTTAAAGTTCTGTCAAATTGTATTATTTCTGCAGTGCAGATGCAACCTTTGTTTGTTGTGCAATATATAGGAATCAAAGTGACAACAGGCATTCCAGGGCCAATTTCTGCTATTTTATGGAATGTGTTCCTATCAGCTGTCTTTCAGTGCTGCAGAGGAAAGATTTTGTTCAAAGGTATTAATGAGGTTTACCGAGCACAATGGCCAATTCTCCCAGTCTCCAGGAAAGGTCATGGTCAGTATTAAAAATCACTCTTCTTTAGGGATGCTGACATTTTAAAGTTCCCCAGTAAGACATTTTCTGTCCTATATTTTTATAATCCCTTCTAGCGTGCCCTGTGTTTTCTTCTTCGCTGATATGGCTACTACATTAGAAATATGTGAATGTGGTTTCTGGAACGTTACTTTTCTATGAAAATTAGAGACAGAATGCATCCATATTGTTACTGTTGTTAGGCCACACATTTTTCACCATTCAGAAATCCAATTACATTGGACAGACAATTTAGAAATGTTATAAATGCTTTGTTTTAGCTTTTAAAATCTTTTTAGGAATAGTGAAGGGGGGAAACCTGAGCAAGTTCACTTGTGACCTGATGGATCTTGAACAAAATCTATTAAAGCTTTTCTGTTCATTAGTCAATTATTTGTGAAGCATATGCTATTCCATTTTTAAAGAAGCTATATAAAATTAATGGAAATCACTTAGCCAAAGTTAAACACCTTCAAGTTTAATTATTTTTAATGGAGAAACATTAAGGCTATGCTTAACTCTTTCACTGAGTTCAGTGAGACTGAAAAATGCTTAGTTTCAGCTTAATCATATCCAATGCTAATTCTTAATTATGAGAGAACTTTTCCTATGTCATTTTCCTTCAAAACCTTATAATAACTTTTCCAAAGGAAACTATCCCCCTAAGCAGATGGCTTAAAGGGTATTGGGGGTAGGGAAGGGGAGGGGCAGCCGGGCGTCCCAACCCCCTCCCGAGGTCATCCTCGGAGCAGCCGGCCCTCCACACGGCTGGTGCTCCGAGGAGGACCTCCCGCCGCAGCCTTTCCAGCCTTTTGCGGCGCACTTTCGCTGACTTGTGAAAGGAGTGCTAATTTAGCACTCCTTTCAGGGGTGGCGAAGCTGCGCTGCAGGATTGAGGCATAGGGGATGCCTCGGTCCTGCGGCGCAGCTTCCCAGGGCGGCCCGTCTGCTTAGCCCTTATGTGTATGTATGTTCCTTAGGCAAGGACTACTCAGAGGGATTGGGGAAAATAAAGAGATTTCACCTTCTGGAAATTAGTTCAAGAGAAGATTGGTGAATTCATGGGTGTCATTAGGGTTGTGTGGGAGGTACGGACTGCATCAGCTGACACCCTAATCAGACTGCCTGCATCCCTTTAAAATGCTGAAGAGATAGTGTGAATGGGGCAAGACTCAGTGGGAGGAGAAAGGAGAGGCCCGGGTTTTTAATAAATTAAATCTTAAATTTTAGAACAAAAAAATATTTAATTTAAAAAATCTAAAATTATTTTAAAAGTTTCTTTTAATACATTACATCTTATCAAATGTTCACTTTAAACACATAAAACTTCTTTCTTTCAGTTAACCTCAAAGGTGCTACAAGATCTCTCTACACATAAAGCTGTGTATGTGACATTGTAATTTAAAGATATAATTTAAATTTTGCTAGTTGCTTATGTCACAACTGTTTCCATTGCATTCAGCGATATGCAGGAATTACAATTTATGAGTAGCATTAGTTAAAAAAAAACACATTCCTAAATATTCTGTGTAATGTGGTAGGGGAGGAGGTTACTGGAGGGGTGCCACCATGAGTTATCACATATATGGTGATACCACTGGGTGAACTCCAAATCATCACCCAGTGAGGTGAAAGGGACTCCTACTGGGAAGATAAAATCTGCAATGCTATGTTTATGCATGGAAACCCTTTCCATATCCATTTGGGCCTTGCTGAATCCTGGCTATTCATCATAATTCAATTGCTGTCCTGTCCCAGCAGAGTTCCTTTCACACAGAGGCATAACTATGTTCTTTTATGAGAAGAGGAATGTTCTCTCTATATATAACAAAAATCTCCAAATGTATATGAGGTGTTTCCTCTCATGAGAATATGGAGCAAAAAGAGTGCATGGACACCTTGTTTAAAACTCCTTATAGAGAAAGAGGAAGATAATCATATTAAATTATAGGCCAACTGAATCATATGTGTCATTTTAATTTCATGTGCATATCTGTTATATAGGGTTCGATTCCCTGCTTGAGCATAAAAACCCACAGGGTAACCTTGGGTAAGTCACACACTCTCAGTCTAAGAGGATAGCAATGACAAACCCCCTCTGAAGAAACTATCCAAGAAAATCCCATGATATGTCTTAGGGTCAGCATAAGTCCAAATGACTTGGAGGCACACAACAACAACAACAACAACAACAACAACCTTATATGCGCATGTGTGCTAATCAAACATTGACAGATAAATGTTCCTGCTTCCTCAGTCTTCTATATTCTCTTTACTTGTATATTGGCAACAGTCTAATTTTTAAATTTAAGCTTTATTATTCATTTCAATCTTATTCTGTTTTCTTAGGCATATAATTAATAATAAGTAGAATTATTCTACTCTGTTCCAACTCTATAGCCACTTACTAGTTACATTATTTTGAGGCATCAAGACGGCAAGTCTGTAAGTTGTTTTATAGGCTGGCATATTTAAAGTACAGCTTAATTCTCAATACAGCTGAACTCTGATGATGCCTTCCTGGAGAGGACACTCTTCAAATGTAATATACACACATACTTTTCTTCCTTTATCCCTGTAGTAAATTGCTATTGCTCAAGAACTTTCCTTATCTGGTGAAGGCATTAGATGCTGGTCTCAGGGTTCTTCTACTTAAAGCTTTAGACCTTTGAAGGGCGCTAATGCAAGGGCAGGATTCTGAACTTTGCTAAGTGATTTAGAGGGAAAGCAAACTTTATGGTTTATCAACATTCATTTTAAGAAGCTCAGCATTTTGGTGTTGTCCTCAAGGCTGAACGTCAGATCTGAACATTGGTGGAAAGCCATAATTCTGCAAAGGAGATGGGGGTAGGGTCTCCTGTGGTTTCTGACAGAGCCATTTCTTTTCTAAAGCTCTCTAAGAGCACATGACCTCTTAAGCATATCTTGTTTCTACCCAGCAGAATAATGAAATATGATTGGTTTCCAAGCACTTATTGCCTGTCTTTCCCCCAGTGTGTGTCACTGTCATGCTTGCACACTTTTCATAGCTATTTTCGTGTTTGACTCCTTTCCTTGGTGAAGAACCCCAGCTGTTGTCCTTCCGAAAAATACCAACAGCAAGGCTGTCTCTAACTGGCTGAAGAAAGAATATAGAAACATTGGCTACATTTCCGTACCTTTAAAGATCATGGAGAGAGAGCTCCCTGAAGAAGAAATTCAGCAGACCCTCTGTCTTCCCTGGGACACTGCCAAGGTCACAGATGACGAAGAGAAGCAGTTTTGTCAGTGAGTAATAATATATAATTTTGCAAAGTTCTTTCATAATTTCTACATGATTCTTTATGGTATAATCAGTTTGAGATATATGGAACTACAGAAAATGACATTTGACCCTTTGACATTTTATGTAACTGGTGATAACTATAAGTAGAGATAATATTCTCATGCTCCTACTGAACAGATGACTGTATTTCTATGCAGGATGCAAATTCTCTTTCTCTGTATGGGTATATACACCCATACATACAACATTAACTGTGAAGGAAAATAAAGTTGGGTAGTATCAATTTTTGCAGTAACACCACTTGTATAGCAGTGTGATTTAAAAATTTTTTTTTCAGTCTATCAGCTATAATTTCTCTCTCTCACTCTCTTCATTATTTAATAGTCCACAAGCAACTTGCAGACAATATAAAATTGTTTTATAATGGAACGTAAGGGATATTGTCTGTACTTTTAAAGAATCGAGGATAGATGAATGACAGAGCGATCATGGTGTAGTGGTTTGAGCATTGGACTATGGCTCTGGAGACAAGGGTTCAAATCCCATGGTGACCCTGGGCAAGTCATACTCTCTCAGCCTGAGAGGAAGGCAAAGGCAAACCCCTCTGAACAAATCTTGCCAAGTAAACTCTGTGATAGGTTGCCTTAAGGGTTCCATAAACTGGAAACAATTTGAAGGCACAGAACAACAATAGATGAATGTCTTTTAATGCAAAACTAGAGCTGGAAAGTCAGCAAGTTGATAGAGCAATAATATTTGAATGTCAAGTTTTTTCTTATATTTTCTTATATTTTAATTTTGTTTTTAAAAAGATGTAGTGCTATTAAAAATAAATAAATAAATAGGAATTGCTGATCCATCATTCAAATGGTTTAAATACCAAATATGGAACTGTATGTATTTGCTCCACAAATGTGCACACATATCCTGATGTTTGTTTTTTAAATCAAAGCATCAGATATGAATTGAAGTATTTTTAAATAAAAAGAGCAATTTTAATAGAGTGGATGTAACAGATTTGCTCCCATTTTGCTAAAAGTGCTATTCACAAGAACTGTAGCATATTCTCTTTGTTGCCAGCAGAATGCAAAGAAGTAAGATAGAAAGACTAATTAAATGGATTGTAGAATGAATTAAAAAATTAAATTAAATTGATCCTCATCTTTATTTATTTACCTTTCTTTAATCATCATTGGTAGATGGTGGCTTACTGATCAGTGGGCCAACGGATCTTCTCTAAATTTCATTCCAGATTTTAAAGGAGCTAAAAATAAAAAAAAACATAAAAATACAGAAGCTATCCAAGTGCTAAACTTATTTTGGGGATAGTCAGGACCCAGATATGTCCTTTAAAGTCTCCTTTAAAACCTGAAGTGGATTCAGTCCCTCACTGACATGGAAGCCAACACCATCTGCTGCTTATAATTTGTTAATTTTTAACATCTCATCCCATCCAAGAAGCTGAGGGCTAAAGCTTGGACAACCCCCCCCTTTTTTTTTTACTACAGGTTGTAGTCCAAAAAAGTAATGCTTTTTCAAGCTTTGAAAAAGGCAGCGTCTATAGTTTTCTAGAGCTGTATCTTTGCAACAAATGCCATTAGGGTAGCTTAAGAAAGAGTGGCTGGCCCAAAGTCACCCATTGTGGGATCTTTGTCACTGATTTAAACCTGGCTTGTCCTTTCTTAAGCCAGTTGTTCTTTCCACACCATCATCTGCTGAGATAGTATAGCACTCAGGTTTTCCCTCCTCCCATTTAAGACCTTCTGCAGCACTGCTTTCCTTATCTGTTCTTCTAGAATTGGATTTTAAATGAATGCCACAACCACAACTTTATCCTTAACCTTTCTCCCCCACTTGTCAGGAGTGTTTCACAAACCTCCTCAGAAGCTAGCCTTTCTGCAATGCCACAAGTTCCCTCTGCTTTCTGCATGTTGTTCTTATCAGGCAGAAGTTGCATATAGGGAATAACAATTGGAATTTTTAAATAGCTGCTTTGCCACTTGTTCAGCAATACTACTCTCAAGCAAGACACTGGAAAAGTTACAGCTCACACTATCTCCTTGCGCATTTGGCCAGAAAAGGAACTTTTGCAAGCTTTGCTAAAGCAGAAGATTCTTTGATCACCAAGGGTACATCTCCATTGGGAGCATTCCTGTTCTCATGCAGTATTTCAGTACTTGTTGTTGTTGTTGTTGTTGACTGCCCTTGAGGCATCATGACCCTATGAATGAGATATCTCCAAGACTTCCACTGCTCTGCTCAGATCCTGCAGGCTCAGGCCCATGGTCTCTTTGAACGAGTCTAACTATCTGGTATGTGGCCTTCCTCTCTTCCTATTGCCCTCTACCTTTTCTAGCGTCATTGCCTTTTCCAATTATTAATTCCTGATCTGGCCAAAGTACATAAGCCTCAGTTTAATCATCCTAGCTTCCAAGGACAGTTTGGGCTTGATCTGTTCTAGAATCCATTTGTTGTCTTGACCATCTCAATCCTCAGCACTCTTCTCCAGCACATCTCAAATGAGTTGATTCCTTCTTTCGGCTTTCTTCACTGTCTGGCTCTCACATCTGTACATGGTGATGGGGAATATGATGGCTTAGACAATCCTCACTTTAGTGTTCAGAGCTATATCTTTACCCTTATCCTGTTCTTGTCCAGTTCTTTCACATAGCTATCCTTCCCAATACTAGTCTTTTTCTAATTTCATGACTGCAGTCACCATTCTGATCAATATTTGATCCCAGGTATGGGAACTCTTTAACTATTTTGACTTTCTCATTATCTAGGATGAATTATTACAGATCTTCCATAGGCATTATCTTTGTTTTCTTGAGGTTGAGCTTGGTTGAGCTTGGCACTTTCCTCCTTGACCTTCTTCAGAAATTGCTGAAGAGCATCCAGCCCAACCCCTTCAAATGCAGTAATATACAATAAAAGCACTCTTAACTGGTGGCCATCTGCCTCTGTTTAAAAACCTCTAAAGAAGGAGAAACCACCACACTCCAGGGCAGGGTATTCACTATCAAATAGCTCTTACCATCAGGTAGTTCTCCTAATGTTTTGGTGGAGTGTTTTTCTGTTGTTTGAATCCATTGCTCCTGAAGCAGAAAACAAGGGTGCTCCCATCTTCAACATGTCATCATTTCTAATATTTAAACATGCTTATTATGTCACCTCTTAACCTTCTGTTCCCAGGTTAAACATGTCCAGTTCTCTAAGCCACCCTTCATAGGGCATGGTCTGGAAACCATTTTGGTTATCTTCTTCTGGACATGCTCCAGCTTGTCAACATCCTTCTTGAATTGTGGTGCCCAGAACTGGACACAATATTCCAGGTGATGTCTGACAAGAGCAGAATAGAGTGGTACTATTACTTCCTTGATCTAGGCCAGGGGTAGGCAACCTAAGGCCCGGGGGCCGGATGCGGCCCCCCAAGGCCTTTGGACTGGCCCAAGGCCGGTCCTGCCGCCGCCGCCGTCCCCCGCCATGATGATATTGATTATTGTTGTTATTACTTGTTCTTGGGGTTTTCTTGGCAAAATCTCCACAGGGATTTTGCCATGGCTTTTCTGGGGCTGAGAGAGTGTGCATGCATATATTTTTATTTACATTTTATTTATTTATTTATTTATTTATTTATTTATGGTGCTTCGGCCCCCCAATTGTCTGAGGGACAGTAACCCAGCCCCCAGCTCAAAAAGGTTTCCTACCCCTGATCTAGGCACTACACTCCTACTGATGCAGCCTAGAATTGCACTGACTTTTTAAGGTACCACATTATGCTGTTGTTTCATGTTCATGTTTTGGTCTACTAAGGCTCCTAGATCTCTTTCACATGTTCTGTTTTCAACTAGGTGTCAACCATCTTATATCTGTACATAAGGAGATTTAGTAGCTCCTTTGAGACTAACTGAAAGAAATAAATTGGCAGCATGAGCTTTCGTGCTACCAATTTCTTTCAGTTAGTCTCAACGGTGCTACGAGATCTCTTTACATACTGATTCTACACACTAACACAGCTATATCTTTGAATTCTACCATCCTATATCTGTGCATTTAATTTTTTTTGTCTGCCTAAATGTAGTACTTTACATTTCTCTCTGTTGAAATTCATTTTGTTAGTTTTGGGCCAGCTTTCCATGTCATTCTGAATTCTGATCCTGTTCTTTGGGGTATTAGCTACTCCTCCCAATTTGGTGTCATCTGCAAATATGGTAAGCATGCCCTCTGTTGCATCATCCAAGTCATTGATAATGATGTTGAAGTTAAAGATGTTAAAAATGTTGATCCCAGAGCAGGAACCTGTGGCACCCTGCCAGTCAATTCTCCCCAAGATGAAGAAGAATCATTGTTAATCACTCTTTGGGTTCTACAGTCAACCAATTGCAATCCACATAACAGTCACATTGTCTAGTCCACATTTTACTAACTTATTTGCAGATCTATCCTGTGTTTGTCCCTTGGTATTCCAAGGAGTTGAATCTATTTTGTGGAATGGCTTTAGCACTTGAGTTAGCTTCTTTAACCTTTGGATTAAATCTGGAGCAGATTCCCCATCCCACTGATATGGAAGCACCCACCAGCCACCACTGAATATATTCCTTGAACTATAATCATCTCTGTAATCAGCTTTATTTTAGAAATCCTGGAATTCCACAATTTATTCTAGGACCCTAAGAAAGAAGATTGGGACCTGGATAAAAGTTATCTAGGGTGATAGGATCCAGGAATGTTTATTTTCCCCAGTAGAAGTCTTATAATTGCTTTTTTAGAGGTATTGGAGCAGAACCCGCTTTCAAACAAAACAAAATAAAAAACGTCCACAACCTTCACCATCTGGTTAGACAGGCCTCCTTTGGCACTTCTTATGAATCAGGATAGATGTGGATTTAAGGCATAAGTAATTAACATCACTTCATCAACCACATCATATGTCTTTGTCTGTTATACCAGGCATCCCTATTGGACTGTAATTCCTATCAGCTACGGCCAGCATAACCAATGGTGAGGGTTCAGAGGAGTTATAGTCCTATATTATCTGCAAGGAGGAGTTATAGTCCTATATTATCTGTAAGGTCTCATATTCTACATCTATGTTAAACAGTGGCAAATAGTTCTAAATATGGTAATAATGCCCATGTTGTGGAACTTCCTTCTATGGAAGATTTGTTTGGCTTCCTCCCTATTCAGACAAGCTTTGTTTTTTTAACTCATTGTACCAGGTAGAGCCTTTAATGGAATTGTTGTGTTTGTATTTTATTATGTTTCAAATATGTTTTTAAATATTATTTTTAATCCTAAACTTCTGATTTTTAATAAAATTGTGATTTAATTTTCTTTAAACTTTTGTATTAGTAGTTTTTAGTTGGACTCTGATGTAAATGGTTTTAAGCTGTCTTAAATCCTGTGCAGGGAGAAAGGCAAGGTATTAATAAAACAAAATAAAAATAAGAGGAAGGTCCTAAATTTACAGTGAGAATAAATGGACTCAATTTCTTTTGTTCCCAAGCCATATGTTGACAATTCTCACCCTTTCTGAATTCATTCATGGTT